ATTTAAAAAAAAAAAAAAAAAAAAGGCAACTTGCTTGTTGGTGTGTTTCTGTAGAGAGAAAATGGGATAGAGGGTTCATGTTACATAGGATGGGCAGTCCTCTGGTATGCTCATTAAGGGCCAAGTAGATGGGGAACAAACACCTTGCTACCCCAGTGGCATGTCCATAACACATTGGACTGTGCTAGGGAGCACCACTGAAAACTCATCCTGCTGAATGCTGAAACGCATAGCATAGCTGCCTTTTTGACATGCCCAGCATCGCTTTCAGACTTAGGCAGGCTTATTACAGCAGCCGTGACCTCTCTCAGTAGCTGCCTTACATTTTTTTGGCGCTTGGCACATGCAGAGTAGGAGCAAGAGGCAAGATGTATTTTCTTTCACACCAGTGCTCCTTAGCATAGCCCGACATGGTGTAGATATGTTGCATTGTGTTAAGTGTCAGCAGTGAAGATCACACAGGCATTTCAGTTTGTCCTTGCTAATGGACCATGACCTGCGAGTCCCCTGTGTCTGCAGATTTGGCAGAAGTGTCTGCTTCCCTTGTTGAAATGCTAATGGACAGAGAATGTCCTTGGCTTCTCTGACAAACTACATAAATCTCCATGGCCAGGAGTTTCCCTCTCACCTTCTAGAATTAAGGGGAAAAAAAACCCCAGTCCATCCTACCCTTGTTAATCAGTCTCAATATCGCCACTCCATCCTTGGTCCCCACTCTGAATTGCCTCATATTACCTCTGCTAGTAATTCCATGGGCTATGGCCCTACTTCCTTTGGCTTTTTTCTATCCAAACACCTGGGTTCAACTTATGGTGTTCACTCTCCATTTCTTTTAACTTCCGCAGCTTGATTGCTTGTGGGAGCAAGCAGAAACAAGCAAAGCCTTCCATTACAACATAGAAGAAAGATGCAAATGCCTGAATTCAAGCAGTCTCTTTCAGGCAGTGTTTGGGATACAATGGGGGAGAAAAGGATAGGGACACCCATCTACATTGCCTGCACACTGAGACCCAGCACTCCATTCATCTGGCTGTTGGCTGTATCAGAAGCACTAGGTTGCTCCTATTCAGTCAAACTACTTTTGCATGAACAGTCAGATTTGGCCCAACTCAGTAATATAGGTGGGGTGGGGGTTTTACCTACATTTAAACATCTTTAAAGGGAGAGAGGTTTCTGCTTAGGAGCACGCAGTAGCTGTTATAGTCTAACTGTTAAGTCTGCATGGTCCCAGAGTGGTGCATGTTAGCTAAATTACCTTAACTTTTACCCTGAATAAGTAGAATCTTGCAGACCTGACAGTTGCATCCTAACAGCTTGTATTGGTATCCTTTGGTATTGATATGGCTGTTAGTCTATCCCCTTACTTTGTATTTTGTGGTTGCCTGGTAGTCTCCCTGTGGGGCTGTTTTCCTTAGGAAGGTCTCAGACAAACAACAAGCACAACATGTTGAGTTGGCTGAGCCCCAACACATGACAGTGACAGAACTGAGGCACTTACCGCCTCCTGGCAACAGTGGCATTGATGCCTCAGGTCCACGCAACAGCACAGCGTCCCTCAGAGATTAACTGAATATTTCTCATTAGTCATCTTTTTATCTGTATTTGAAATTGCTTTCCATTAACTGTTGTTATGGTTGGCTGAGAAAAATAAGTTGTGAATGGCCTTTAAGAGGCTCTCACCTGAGACATTTAGAAATAATTGTTCTATTGCACAGAGGTGCAGGTTACATTGTGAGCAATTAGCAGTTGCCAACTCTCATGACTTTTAGCATTGTTCTTAAAGTCTACGCTTTGGGAATGTTGAAAAAATAAACTTTTTCTTTCGTCTATATCTATATTGATAGATCGATACATAAAAGAAAGAGTTAAGTTTTTCCTGCAGCATAGATTTTAAGAACAATGCCAAAAGTCATAAGAGCTGGCAATACTGAATAGACCTCAGATGCTGAATGAAGCAGACCCGTCTTTGATGCTGTGGTTTGAAGTGATTGCTTCCCACTGATGTGTTTTTTTATTTGTTTAGATTGTTTATATTAGGTTTTTAACTTTCAAACCTTAGAGAAATTAGTAGGTCCCAGTTACGATTATGATTGATACTTGTTCTTGCCTAATCAAATATTGGTATTTAAAAATACTAACTGCTATCATGGGTTTTTTCCCTTCTCCTGATCTCACCTAGTGTACTCAATATGAATGTTTAAAATATCTGAGGTGCAAAACCAGAAGCATGCTAGAGATGAAAAATGTTGTGACTAAAACAAGGTGTTTCTTCTGAATACAGAAAGTATTTCTGAGGCAAGTCTTCTTTGATTTTTTTGGATTGCTCCTGGCATTTTTGGCTGTGCCTTCAACGTAAAATAGATGCAGGTGTTGACTATCAACAAAAGCATCTTCTGAGGTTTAGAAAGCAACTCTCTGGACCCTTGGGAGCTATGACAGGAGACTGTAACATTTATTTATTTAACTTTATTTGCTAGTACTTTGTTAGCTCTAGTTTTGCTGGTGCTCTTAGACATAATCTTTTTGACCAGGATCTGCTCTTAAACATACTTGTTTCAGGGGAACAAGTTAGTTGTGAAAAAAATATTGTTATTATGTGAGCAGAGATACAGGCACTACAAAATGGTCTGTTAAAATGTTACCCTGTTTAGTGTATTTTATTGTGGAATGTGGCATCAGACAAATAAATCAAATTTAATTGGTAGACAACCTGTCTAGGGGAAGTTACTATTATGCTTGAATTTTGCGTATAAAACTATTAAAGCTGAAAAAGAAGGCCAACATTTCAAATCTGGCTGGCTACAGCTAGTCTCCTACAAACATACTTAGGATATTTTATTTAGGTACTCAACTTTAATATGCTAAGTACCTGCAGCTTTCTTTGGCTTCAGTGATATTTGTGGGTGATCAGCGGTTCTGAAAACCCAGGCTACTAATGCAGGCATTTAAATAGGGGTTTTGGAACTTGGCTGCAAGTTGACTCTTTTGACCTGAACCTATGAATTCAGAGAAGCTTTTATTTTCTGACAGAGCAATTACTATCCATTGCTAATCTTCCAAAAAAAACCCATTGATTCTCTCAATGCCAGCAAGTGTGGGCTGAATTTGCAACTAACAGACCAGCCAGATCTCTCCTTTGGCAGCTGAACAGATTGGAGAACAAACATACTGCTCTAATTTTTTATTTTTTTACCCTCCTGCCTTAAGCTTAGAGACCTGCAGTTCACTAAGCTGGCCCTGCTACCATCTTCTTCCCACTCTGCAGTATTTTCAGTTCTTTAAGAAAATGTGGTAACTCTGACTGATACCACAGATACCTGATATTAATGCATTAGTATCATAGGATGCTAACTCTGGTCACTACACTTATTTCAATTGCCAGATAAGGGAGCTGTGTAAATTTCTTAACCTGCAAGGGATCTGCCAACACAAACTCTTTCATAAGTAGTGTCCCACTGACACAAACAGGCCACCATACAGGAGTTAGGCTTTGTGCTCATAAATCCCTTTGATGGAACTAAGCTTTAGCAGAGGAGGTCTTGGACTTTCACTGAGAGCTTGCACAGAAGTTCTAAATAAAGGAAAGGGGAATTCTCCCTATCCTTATGGTTCCCAGTGCAGTCTAGGGGAGTAGTATACAAGGGATTGGGGAGGAGAAAGTAGCCAGATTTGTGGATGGATGAGGAGCAACCACACTGAAGATATCAGGACAGCTGGAAAACCTTGAGCATCTGTCTTGCTAGCATGCTTTTAAGCAGCTGCAGTGTTTTTTGACTGACCTACAGAACTTCCTGAAGCTGTGACTGCCATATGCAGAAGAGCAGCTGCTTGTCAGACCTTGAAGGAGAGCGAAAGGAGAGGGAGATAAGAACTGCAGTGAGCTAGAGTAGAGGTTCCCAGCCACTGATACTGGGTTGCGAGCGGTTGGCTTCCAGGTTGTCGTAACTCGAACCCTCGTCTGTCTGCCTGGGCAATCACGTGCAGGGTTAAAGCTGGGTAGCAGGGCAGCCCCTGGAGGGAGGCAGCCAGCTCCATGCACCCCATCCTACTCCTGCTGGTCTGCAGTATAAAAAAGGTTGGGAACCACTGAGTTAGAGAGTGCTGTTCGCTTTCTGTGCTTTGACCCCGGTCATTCTAGCAGTGCTTTGGTTTAAAAGGATTAGGTTTGTAAGTAGAGATGACACACAAACATTAAGCTTTATGGATACTTATTGCATAGTTTCAGCTCTGATAGCAAAATGGTCTGCCATAAAAGCTATCCTCACTTGTAAAGCTATGTGAAGTGATGTGGTAAGCATCTGATGCCACTTGTTCACCACATGCGTGGAAGTATAGAATTAAAAACATAAGATACTATAGTTTTTAATGAGTTATTTAAGGTTCTAGAAAAGGTGGATGAAG